AAGCTTTAGTGACAGAGTAAGATTATGACAATGTGTAATTTATGCTCGCGTCCTTTCATCGAACCGGTTAAGAGGAAGGAACCATCTGAATGAAATACGAATGAAGAATGGAACCAGGTCATATTGCACGATCAATCTTTACGTGAATTCGACGTACGAATCTTCAACGAGTTCATGGCGATAACTTTTTGCCAAAACGAACCATTCACGGTGTGCAAATAAAGAAATTTGACTGTTTTAGTCTTTAAATTTCTTGTTAATTCTCCTATTAACCCTTTGTACTCGTGCCCGGCACGAAAACTAATTGCAAACTGTAATATTTAACAGATTTTGTTGTATTCAATAAAAATGAAAAAATTGGTAAAATTTTATTATTTGTATACGTTCTTTTGGGTATAAAATGATTTGAAGTACCCCTAAAGTTCTTCTCTAATATAGCCGAAATCGTCTCGAGTTGCTGGTTCGCCCGAGCGCAAAAGGCCTCGAGTGCAAAGGGTTAATACATAAATGTTAGAATATTTCCTCTATCCAAAATCAGCAACGGTTTCTAACACAAAGAATGATAATACTTGTAATATTGCAGTTGCTAAGAACTAGCGCAGAGTCAGTATTCAATTCTCAGGACACAATCTCAGGTTCCAATTCTTCGCTCAATAGAATCGAGATACAATAAGTAATGTCGTCAATACTTAGAGATATGGTGCAAGCCCTTTCGAATTTTCATTTAATTCTTTGATTTCCATCATTCGATCGAACCATTAAATTTCTGATATTTTTATAAATAAATGAAAATGATACACAATTATACTTCTTAATCCATCCCATCGAAGGATACTCGAGGGGTTGTCGCAGATAGAATCACTTCTACGAAACGAGAAAACTTTCTCAGAAATCACTGATTGAATCGAGAGGATTTGCTAAGGGTCTCGCGAGATGAAATTCCTTTTGCAAACAAAGTTTCCATTGTAAATAAATCGACTCCGCGGACAGCGCGTTGAAATATCGAGTCTGATGCATCCGAGAAACGAGGCCCTTGACGTTTCCTTTACTTTGAACCTGGCACAAGTGCAAGAAGTGATCCGTGAAGAACATATTCTCGTATCATCTCGCGTTTCCGGGAAAAATATCTCAAATAGAATAGAAGTATCGATAGCTCCTAACCCGTCATTAAAAAAATCAGTAAAACGAAACACATTTAAATGCAAGTTTTAAAAAAGCTAAGGAAATTGAGGAACAATTTGCTGAACGTTTAATTGTTGATTTTTAGTGGATTTAGTACAGTAAATTTGAGATCTGATTATGTCAACGAGATTGTCAGGAAATGGGCCGAAGGGTCGGTCGGACCGAACGATTAATCATTCAGTAATTTATGGACTTGCTAGTAGCATGTGTCACGATGACGTTGACCAAATTTCCCCGTTGGAAATGGTCGGTAATCGTGCGATATCGTAAAGAGGTCTACTCACGAGCTTCCGGGAGCTCGTTCGAAGGAAAGCTCGCGCTTTCCCAATCCCGGCGAACAACAATTGTTTTCAATCCAATTTACGCCACATTTTATGGGATAGCCAACCGACCGAACCATATCCCGAATACATTGTGCGCACCTGCAAACTGTTCGCTTGTACTCATAAAAACTATTTTATATCATCTCCACCTTTGAATTTTATTAAAAGATTAAACGAAACGATTTTCTTCTTAGAGCAAGCAGTTCGCGATAAATTATAATATTGAGTTTAGGAGTTTGTCGATAGACTTCTTATTTAAAATCAGCAATCACTTCGTTGCCAAACTAATATTAATATCAGTTGATATAACATAATCAATAGACTATGAATTTTTCATATCATGATTTTTTTTTCTCTCACGTAAAAAGTAATCATCAATCATCTTCAAACTATCATCTTTTTCACACCCTTAGGTAAGTTTTAAAAAGATCGTCGATTTGCTTCAGGTCATATCATTGAAGAGGTGATGGACACATGGCTCTTCGTGCTAGTGGAAACATTTTTTAGGAACTTGTGAACAGATAGAAATGTGTTAAAATTTCACCTGATTTTATAGGAGACTTTGTATATTAAAGATTTCAGAAATAAAATAAAATAAGCTATACGTGTATTGCAGAAGTAGACGCTATGTATTTCGTTGTTAGACTTGTTGTTAAATTTCGTGCAGAAGAAGTTTTACAAGA